GTTCTTGCTAAATGTGTCCATGTGAAACCATAGAAAACATGCTTGTATTGATTGTTGTACTGTTTCTCAGCACATTGTACACCCCATTGATTAGGAGTGGTTGTTTTAGAAGATAACAATCTTGAGGACAAGAGCTAAATCCAACACTTTATGTCCAGGGGTGCACACAGGAAGGCACTTCTGGAATTCCAGAAGGTGCTTGTGAATGTGCATAAGCACTTAATTATTATCAATGATAATAAATGACTGACATTAGCATTTTTAACTTTGGCATTATTATCATTTGGGGCTACAGAATTCTTTGTCACAGGGGCTGTCCTGTGCAATGTAGGATGCTTAGTAGTATCCCTGGACAATATCCTCTAGGTGCTAATAACAGCCCCTTCCAGATATGACAACCAAAAATGTTTTCAGACGTTGCCAAATGTCTCCTGCAGGGGAGAATCATCCTTGACTGAGAACCACTGCTCTAGATACATGTAGGCACAATAGCTGGTCATAAAGGTGTCCACAGCAGGGAAAGGGCATAGCCCTGCAGAGTATTCCAGCCTGAATGAGCCATATAATCTTAGTGCACTAGGGCTTTGTGGTTGGAATGGTGTGTATGCAGGGCATAGGTAGAGTCTGACATGCTAGAACATACTGAAATGTAAGTGGCAAAATTACCCGCTGGACTCAAAATTATTAGACAGTCTTCCCTTTCCAATACTTCCTCTGTAAGGAGGCAATTGACAATTCATGCCTCAATGGCAGCAGGCATAAAAGAGCCTTCTGGGGTCATAGGTAGATTAAGCTTTTTATAAATTAGCAGTGTAATGGAACTGACTGCCAAACCAAAGCTAATTTGTTATTCAGCTGCATTAAGAGTTGAATAATTTAGAAAATGATGAATTTAATAGTCTATGCTTTAAAATCATTTCTGGAATGTCCTGAGACTACATTTTAAGAATATCTAAGTACATACTGAGAAACACTCAAGGAATTGTAAGCTATCAGAAAAATCATTTACCTCCATACAAAATAAACTGCTGTAGGAGGTTTGGGATGCTTGTAACACTGAATAATACTGAAATAATGCTGAAACTCGAGCACATACCTGCAGACTATTGATAAGGATGTTACTGACAAGTCTTAAGCTTTATGTGAGTAATTAAACCTGAATACTGATGCTCCTTCCAATCCAGAGAGGATGTGATTTCTTAAAATAATAATTCATTTTTTTCACCCGGCTTATTTAAGTTCATTACAAGAAAGGTGAGAGAGATGAGCCTTCTGAGCCTTCAGTGGAGAATGAACCATGATTGCACTTTACATTTAGATTTCATGTATCTATGAATAACTCAAAGCGTCTTTGCAAAAATCTAGCCAGTCTTCTTATAGTCTTATTCTCTTAAGAATGGGATAAATATCAAACTCCCTGGTTTACGCTACTTAGCTTCTGCAGCTATGCAGAGTGTGTTTCAGACCAAATAAATTATTGACTATTCTGCTCTAATACCACAGAACTTATCTTTTCTAAATAGCTTTAATCTTTGTTACCTGGTACCTCATTATTTGTACAGCTTGGGTTTATCCATGACAAGGTCACTGCTCAAAACATGAATGGACAGAACGAATATTTCCCGTCAATAAAGGTGTCCAAATTCAGCTAACTTGTGAAGACACCTTCAAAGACGAATTTCCAAAAGCATCTCCTAGCACTTGCTATTCCTTATTTCTTGAATCAACCTATTCATCATTAGGATCTTCTTTTCCACTTATTTCTCAAGTACTACGCTTGATTCATCTGTGATCCCAAAGTCACTCAGTGCCACGGGCATTGGTGGGCCCCTACCACGTGGTATAGCTCTAGAATCCGTACTTAGAAATAGAACATTTTGTTTTCTATTCAACGTAAAGACAGATAATATGTACTGTTAGTCTGAATATGTCTTACAGAAAACACAAAGCTCAGTTATTTTTAAAATATAGCCTTATATCTCTAATTAGACAACTTTCCAAATCTTTGAAACCCTCTCTTTTGTTTAAACATCATTCTCATTCTTTTATGGAATCCTAACCTTTAAATTCTAAATCAGATTAATTCTCTACTAAATAAAACACCAAGTTTCCTCTCGCTCTAAAGTCAAACACAATTTGGCTGGGCGCAGTGGCTCACCCCTATAATCCCAGCACTTTGGGAGGCCGGGGCTGGTGAATAACGAGGTCAGGAGATCAAGACCATCCTGGCTAACACGGTGAAACCCCGTCTCTACTAAAAATACAAACAGCTAGCCGGTCATGGTGGTGAGTGCCTGTGGTCCCAGCTACTAGGGAGACTGAGGCAGGAGAATGGCAGGAACCCAGGAGGAGGAGCTTGCAGTGAGCCGAGATGGCCCCACCGCACTCCAGCCTGGGCAACAGAGTGAGACTCCCTCTCAGAAAGAAAAAAAAAAAAATTAGCCTGGTGTATTGGGGCGGTAATCCCACCTACTCGGGAAGCTGAGGTGGGAGAATCACTTGAACCCGGGAGGCCGAGGCTGCAGTAAGCTGAGAAGGCCCCATTGCACTCCAGCCTGCGTGACAGAGGGACACTCTGTCTCAAGAAAAAAATAAATAAATAAAAGGCAAACAATTTGACGGCAAAAATATTCTACAAATATCTGATAAAAGTTTGCCCCAAGAGAACGCCAAAAACTTCTGGATTGCTCCATTAATTGGATAATTTTCACTTGTCCTTTATAGCAAGTTCCTTCACTGTGGCTTGTATGAAAGGATTTGTTTGCTTTGTAACATGGGAGTTAAAGGTAAAGAAACTGCCTCATTACCACTGAGTGTGAATACTCTCATTTCTGCATGGATGTTTCTCACCTTTGATGTGAGCTCTCTGGTCTATGAAAAGACATGGTTACCATCAGTAAGTGAATATTTAAGAGTTTTCAAAGATACTAGACAAATCATAATACAGTTTTTTTTTTTTTTTAAGTTCCGGGATATATATGCAGAACTTGCAGGTTTGTTATATAGCTGTACTGTGCCATGATGGTCTACTGCACCTATTAACCCATTAGCAAGTTTCCCTCCCCTCACCCGCTACTACCCCAAAGGCCCTGGTATGTGTTGTTCCCTTATCTGTGTCCATGTGTTCTCATTGTTCGACTCCCACTTATCAGTGAGAACATGTGGTGTTTGGTTTTCTGTTCCTGTGTTCGTTTGCTAAGGATGATGGCTTCCAGCTTCATCCATGTCCCTGCAAATGACATGATCTCATTTCTTTTTATGGCTGTGTAGTACAGGCTGTATAGATACCACATTTTCTTTATCCAGTCTATCATTGATGGGTATTTGGGTTGGTTCTAAGTCTTTGCTATTGTGATAAGTGCTGCAATAAACATACATGTGTGCATCTGTCTTTATAGTAGAATTATTTATATTCCTTTGGGTGTATGCCCAGTAATGGGATTGCTGGGTCAAATGGTATTTCTGGTTCTAGATCCTTGAGGAATTGCCACACTATCCTCCACAATGGTTGAACTACATTCCCACAAACAGTGTAAAAGCGTTCCTAATCCACAGCCTCATCAGCATCTATTGTTTCTTGAATCTTTAATAATCACCATTCTGACTAGCATGAGATGGTGTCTTACTGTGGTTTTGATTTGCATTTCTCTAATGATCAGTGATGTTGAGCTTTTTTCCCTATGTTTGTTGGCCGCATAAATGTCTTTTTTTGAGAAGCGTCTGTTCATATCCTTTGCCCACATTTTGATGGGGTTGTTTTTTTTCTTGTAAGTTTGTTTAAGTTCCTTGTAGATTCTGGATATTAGACCTTTGTCAGATGGGTAGATGGCAAAAATGTTCTCCCATTCTGTAGGTTGCGTAATACAGGTTTTTAAAAATTACTTCTACAGCTTAACATGAGGCACCAGAAGTCTGAGGGTTATAAATGTGAACACTAAACAGACACACACCCATGAATATACAAAAACGTGCAAGCATGCCCCTCTTTACTCCTCAAGGCAGCAAGAAAGATAACTTGTTGATCTCCCTACTTCTTCGATGCACGCATATGCAGATGCAAATTGGCTTTGTAGGTCTGCGTTTTCTTATGCTATGACCCCTAAAGAAGTTACCTATCAGCTGGAGTGAAAGAAATCCAGCACTCTATGTGCACGTTTGTTAATCAGACTTGATTTGTCCATCCACTCAACCTTCACAAGACTTCTCGTTCATTCCTCAGTCAGTCGTTCCTCAGTCAAATCGTTCAATAAATACTTCCTGGGGATTAAGTAGATACTATTTTACCCCACCCACAGCCCACCTAAGTCTTTATCTGCAGCTGGGATAGGCAGGTCCTCAGGTGCTGATAGCTTTGATCTCAAGCAGTCCTGTGTGACTATCAGCGTTTTTGTCTCTTGCTATCTCCAAAGTCTTGGGAGCTCATGCAGTCGGGGTAGCCAGACAATAATGGGGATTGTTCCCAGGCCAACCATTACTATAGATGGGTAGAGGGATGGATAGAGAAATGCCCCAGCCTCTCTTTAGGTGGAGGGGAATTATGAGTTACATGCTATGCGGGTTTTCAGACGGTTCTCACAGGGAATGAACCTCACTTGCTCAAGGTGATACCAGCTCAATCTACCCCTTACTGAGTTTTTACCATTTTCACATCACTTTCTCAAGCCCTCACTTTTGGAATCATCTTCCAAATAAACCATAGGCACTCAAGACTTTATCTCAGGTTCCTTTTATAAATGAACCCAAACTAAGACAATTTCTCAGATCATTTCAGTTCAGTAAACTTTCATTGGCTATTAATTCGATGCTAAAAATGTACCAGAGACTAAAGACAAGCAATGCAATAACACATTCTCCTGATCTCAAAGGGGAGTAGCTTTTTTCTGAAGAAGGGAGACAAACAGATGCATCAGCACAATAGGATATTATAATTGCTATAATAGCAGCTTGCCCTGAGGCTTATGGGAGCTCAGAGGAAGCAACAACAAATTCTTTGTGGGGCAGGGGCAGGGGGAGCAGGGGACTTACTCTGAAATGATTCCAAAAAGGGGACTTACCTGATGAGAGATGTATCAAATAACAGCATGCTGCATGAAAAACAAAGAGTAAGAAATAATTTGAACAACGAGTGAGGGCATGGGATATTTATTCCTTCAATGCAAATTACAATGCACTTACTGCATCCCAAGTTATGTACTAGACATTGGGAATATGTCAATAAAAACAGCATTTTGTATGAAATTTTGTCACGACTCACTATACTAGACTGCACATACTTCATTGATTTTCTACCATATTGTAAATATTTTTAACATTGAGGACTGCAATTCATGCAGAATTTGCCAGAACCTTCCATTTCTAAAGTTGCATCTAATTCATGCATCATTATTCAGCAGCCTTATTTCTTGAGTCATTCTTGAGGGTGACTTCACAAGACAGAGATGGAGAAACTACAGTGATATGTCGTCTGAGAAGCTTTAAAATGTTTGGTCTTCTTGGACAAGCATTTCTAAAACAAACTAAAAATGTTTTGGTCCAAAACTTCTCCTCAACTTCTCAACCCATGCTACTCTCCTCTCACCCTTGAAATAAAAGAGAGTATTAAACACGAGGCTGGATGGCGACTTTACTCGCCATAATCACTCAGGAAATGTTGGTCTGTAAACCTGACCTAAAGTCATTCAGAAAACTGGCTATGAGACCTTCGTCTGGAAAAGTCTGTCCATGTGATGGCATCTAAAGTGGAAACAAAGGTGAAAAGGGGTACAACTGGCTCCCAACTTAATGAAATACACAGCCATCTATGTCTGTAGGGACAGATTTATTTCTTGCTAAAACATGTATTTCCTGTCTCATAAACACAACTTTAGCACACCTTTTCAAACACCCAAGGAGAGACTAAGGCAGGGGGCAGTGGAGCATGATAAATGGGACTAACTCACACTGGGCTTATTTTTCTCTATGGAAGGTCACGTTTCTCACTCCAAATTTAGTGTCTGCCTACCTCACCCCCAGCCCAGCCCAGCACCAGGTCTCTATTTTTAAATGATGATCACAGTTTCTTAACTCAGTAAACTGCCTTGTTAAAATATTCTTCTCATCTGTTTTTTTTTTTTTTCTTCCTCTGGGGAGCAAAGTATTTCCTGACATCTGTTTTGAATTTGTTTTTCTTTTAATTTCTGTGTATGCCTCTTTTTCCTATCATCTGCATTAAATTGAAAATAGCATGTGAGGCTGAAGGGTTCTTTGCCATTTCTAGATTAATATTGCCTTCACCCCAGGGGACTCTGAACACACATTTGTGCTACCTGGACATCGATCTTGTTGCCCAATTCAGCCATCTTAGAGTTAGGAACAGAAGCAAAGTTGGGTGTCCATGAAAACCTCCCACCAAGATACTTCATACACCTAGAAGAGTTACTTAGAAACAAAACCACGGATGGCCTCTGTTACAGACTGTTTGTGCTCCTCTTTCCACCCCAACTCATATATATATTGAAGCCCTAACCCCCAAAGTGATGGTATATAAAGCTGGGGGCTCTGGGAGATAATTATCTCATCCTAAGTGTATTGCTACAGACTTCCAGTAGTTTTGTTGTTGTTGTTGTTGTCATGGGTTTTCTGTTTGCTTGATTGGTTGGTTGTTTTGTTGTTGTTTTGTTTTGAGACAGTGTCTTGCTCTGTCTCCCAGGCTGGAGTGCCATGGTACAAATAAAGCACACTGCAGCCTCAAACTCCTGGGTTCACATGATCTTCCCACCTCAGCCTCCTGAGTAGCTAAGACTACAGGTATCCACTACAACCATGTCTGGCTAATTTTTGTGGTTTTTTTTAGAGACAGAGTCTCACTATTGCCCCAGCTTGTCTCGAAGTGGTCTCAAGTAATCCTCCCTCCTGGGCCCCCCAAAATATTTTGATTACAGGTGTGAGCTCCTGTTCCCAGCCTCAGTAGTTTTTATATGAATATCTATGCTTAAACTGAAACACATATATGCATGTGTGTGTGTGTATATATATACGCATGTATTATGTAGTCATTTGTATATGTGTGTATGTGATATATGTATACATGTTATATCTGCATGTGTATCATACCTAGCATACATATTCATATAAGCACACATATATTGCATCTGTGATTTTGCTAGCCTGTTTCAGCCTCTGAATTGTTTGTGATTTAGAATATGGAGAATGACTAAACAGTTGGAGAGTGGAGAAAGGGAGCTCTTAAGAAGTGTTACTGAAAATTAGAAAGTGGCTTCTCTTTGATGTTCTTTGAAAAATGAAATCCCTTTTTATCTACTGCTTGGCAGCTGAGCTCCTTTTCTGAACTCCACTCCATGCAAAGACTATGCCACGTGGCTCCTTGGCTTTTAGTTAGGATAATATAGAAATATGTCACCAAATAGTGCTGGCCTGGTCAGGTCCATTCCCATATGTACCACTTTCCAAATGACATGGTTTCCTGCACTGAGTGTGTCTTTCAATAAAATATTTTATAAATAGGAATTATAAACTGTGAAGTAGTTTGTAAACACAAAACACTTGTATTCAAAATAACAGAAGAAACTTAGAAATCAAGGTCAAAGGTAGATACAGAGAAAAAAAGTACAATGAAGATATTGTATTCCCGTCACCATTACCAGAATGACAATGAGAGCCATGCCAAGTGAAGTCAACAGAATGGCAATGTGTTTTCACAAAGGACTCACCCCAGCTCCAAACATGGCCTGGAATCTGCATCGGAGGTCAGCACTGCCATCTCCGAGTGACCACGGAGTGCCATTCCATCTTCCCATGGCCACTGGAGCCTTGCCATCTGTATTTTGAGATGTTCACAGAAGAGTGGGAAAATATTTTCTTCTCATTTTCAGCAGGAAGTAATTTCTGTAAGTGATTGACTATCCTAAACAATCCTCATTCTAGAATTCACATTTACGTAAATGAGTATCTCTTTATAAAATGGAATATCTGGTCAGACTGTTTCATAAGTTCAATTCTCATGATCTTCAATGACCTTGGAAAGGAAAGCATAAGACTAGAGGGTCTTTTTGGGATATGGTGTTCCTTAACTGTGGCTTATTAACTTCTAAAATTACTAAGATGAAGAAAATCTTGGAATATTTCCCAAAGGTACTCATTCTGTGCTTTTCAAAGTTCAAAATGTGGCTACATGATGAAATCTAAGACATAACAAATGATTTGCAAACTTCATGAAAGGTTTTCCCAAATTAAATTATTACATGGTTCTTTTTGTAAAAAATAGATGCAGGTGGTAGGTTTCTTTACAAGTTACCTGAGAAACGGTTTCCTGAAGTCGATCAAGAACACTGCTCCCTTACTATTTTGCACCAATTCTAAATCATGTGGGCGTCCAGGCTGGATGAGGGCGAGAGAAGAGGGAGAATACGAGATCAAAGCCTGTGCATTACAGGAGAAAATGCTTTTTCTCTGTGGCTTTGAAAATCTCTTTTTAAAGGGATCCCCTCCCCACTTACTTTGGGGTTTGGCATATGGTGTGTGCTACAGATGGATGAGCAGTGATGCAGCTGTTTGGGATCTGGCACCCTGGCTCTGGAGCGCTCCTGCCAGCTGGCCGGCGCACCCCGGGCTTGTTGCATGAACCGATTCCTCCCAGCTGTTATGCAAAAGAAAGTGGAGAAATGTTGTTGTTCACCAATTTTCCGTCTAAGCCATTTTAGTTTAAGCTCAAGCCCAACAACAACAAATTCCCCAGAAGGCAACTTTTTATGGTACAGCATGCGTCTTCCAAGTTATGTATAATTGTGAATGCGAGGTTACATTTGGATAAGGTTAAAAGACTGCGGAAGCATTCATTGCTGCAAGCTGTGAATAATGTATGAAAGGAGAAATCTCAGTCCCAGCTACGGGGATGTGTGAGTGTGCCATCAGCACCCAACGTGAGCCCATGAGGGCTGGTGGCCAGGAAATGCATTGCACTCGCCTGTCCTGAAGACAATACAAGAAGATCCACCTTACTCAGCCGGCTTGTTCCAGATGAAAGATAGCAACAAACGGTATTTATGGTAATATTAAAAAAAAAAAAGAGGGTTGATAGGTTCAGCAAACCACCATGGCACATGTTTACCTATGTAACAAACCTGCACTTTCTGCACGTTTCCCAGAACTTAAAGTAAAATAATTAAAAAAAAAAAAAAGTCTAAATTTGACCTGAAATCCAGACAGGAGTCTGCACATTTCAAAAGACCAGAGGTGTTACAAGAACAAATTTTATCTGGAAGGCTAGTGATGTGGGGAACAGGAGATGAGATGGCAGAGACTTCCAGGAATGTCATCAGCCGATTATCTCAGAAAGTACAAGGGTCACATCCCCTTTTAAAAATGTGGAATAACCATCACAGCATTTTGTATTTTTTGATGAAGATGATTTTTTTTTAATGAGGACATTTTGTTTGTATTTTTTTATGTTTTGACCCATTGTTCTTTTCAAGGGCCACTGGTTAGTTAACTTTGAGCTACACTGGAGGAGCAAATGGTCTGCTTTGTGACACCTGCTAGCTCCATGAAGGAACTTACCAGACACCCTCACCCACACCAGTCTAAGCTTACTCATTACAGAAGATTTGTTCTTTGTGCCTGGTAGATCTGTGGGGCAGGGAGAAGAAAAAAAGAGGAGAATATTTGACTGAAATATGGGATGTCTGTAAGAGTCTCAGACACAGGACTGAGGCACTGCCAGGGCATGTGTAGATGAACTGAGATCTTGGCTTCTGGACAGGGGTGAAGAAGCGAGCCCGCAGGACACGTGGAGGTGTGGCTTTGCCACAGAGGCACAGGCCACCAAGCAAACCTCCCATTAGCTCCCTATTGTTGTTGGCTGAGAAATTCGCTAACTGAGCTCCCAAATCCAACATCCATGACAAAGCCTACAAATCACCGGGTCCTCCAACAGGTCCACCACCAGGGCAAATGGAAGGGAATGCAAAAGAGAACCCTGCATGGTTCACAGAGGACAGCATGCTTCCAGCCTGCTGCAAAGCTATTTGTGATTCATTAGCCGGCAATCTCTTGAGATTTGACAGGCCTTTTTATCTTTCCCCAAGCTGCAACAAAAAGCAGTCATAAAACTGAGATGCACACTATCCACGACTGGGGAGAAGGCAGTGTTACTAGTTGCATAATTATCATAGGATGTAAAATGGAAAACAGATAAGAAACCATTTTATAATTTGCAAACACCAGGAGCTAGTTGTTGAAAGGAGGAAGGAAAATAAATGAATGAATGCTGATTTTCCTCTTAATATCATAATTGTGAAATGCTTTAATTAAACAGTTATAGAGATAATAAATAATTTTTAAAATAGTATTTTTCTAAAGAAATAAGGAAACATTAAAGAACAAAAATTTTCATGTAATACACACTGTATTTTCGCAATTCACCTAGGACCCTTGGATATAACACTTTCAAACACTATTTATCTCCCTTGGCTGCCAATTTTATCACAAGTAGAAGTAGTGCTTTAGGAAATAACAGCACATTGGCTAATAAACACTGTCTGATTCAGTGATTTATTTTCTTCAGAAGTTATAGCTGTGTTCAAAGTGATATCCAGTGAAGTGTCACACATTAATTTAGAAATATATCAACAGGAAAATTTATCCGTGAACTCTGGAATATCACTAGTTACTGTAAAAACACTCTTTTTTCCCCTCTATCGACAGCAACAATAGCAGCAACATACCTCACAAATGTTACTAAATACTCAATAAAAAGCATATGTTAAGTACCTTCTATGTGCAGAGTACTGTGCAAAGCAATAAGGCAGAATGGTGGGGGGGGGGGGGTGGGAAGAAGGAGGGAAAGAAAAAGAAAAGCCAGCTGTAAGGAGTTGCCTTTCTGTTACCAATAATCTTATTCCATCAACGCTTAACAAACTTGACTGTTGATTGAAGTCAAGGGTTTCTTTGTCGGGGGAGAGCAGAGGGTAAGCCCATTAAGTTGTTCAGATCTGATTGGTGTAGATGAAGAGGAGTAAAGATGCTGAAAGGATCCACCTTGAATTAGGAATTAGAAAGGAAGTAAGCTTTGCCTGTTATGGCTCATGGTTAGTAAATGTATGAAAACATTGAAAGAAATAGGCTAAGTACATTATTATTCTAGCTATAAGAAAAAAAATTACATGGATTTTCTAAAGAGCTATTCCAAAAAGTGAGCTACCTGATCTTAAGATTTTGTTTCTCATAAAATGGTCAAATGCACACAAGTAATTGGAGCATGCATTAGCCATTCTTACACTGAGTAATTTATTAAGAAAAGAGGTTTAATTGACTCACAGCTCCACATGGGTGGGGAGGCCTCAGGAAACTTACAATCATGGCAGAAGGAGAAGCAGGCATGTCTTACATGGTGGCAGGAGAGAAAGCATGTGTAGTAAGCCAAGGGGGCAGAGCCCCTTATAAAATCATCAGATCTTGTGAGAACTCACTCACTATCATGAGAATAGGATGGGGAAAACCGCCCCCATCATCCAATCACTTCCCACCAGGTATTTCCCTCAACACCTGGGGATTACAATTCAACATGAGAGTTGAGTGGGGACACAAAGCCTAACCATATCAGACCATGTTGTGTAATTTTGATTGCATTGACCAATTTGAAAATTATGACCAAAAAAATCATAGCTCATCAATTAATCTTCTACCTTCAAAGAGACAATGCTCCCTCACCTAGGTTTCTTTTGGCAGTTTCCCTTTCTCTACTGCTGAAACAGGAGCAGTTTGTCATGCCCTTATTCAAGAACAATAGTTCTGGAAATCAGTATTATATTGTAAGAGACCCTGAGAATATAAGTAAAATAGAGACCGAAATGATTCTCAAGGCAGCAGAGGGCTATGAGTTACAAACAGTGTCTGTTACCACGGCAAATCCATTTTCCTCTACATAGTCCCTTTTACTTTGAGAAACAGATTCTCAGGGCTAACTAAAGCTAACCACTGTTTGCCAAACTCATTGCAAGTATCTCTGCCTTCATACTGTTACTCATGACAATTCCCTACAGTGTCCTAGGGTTGTCATGTGCATTAAATGAGATTGTTTAGGTGCATTAAATGAGGCTGGGTGCAGTGGCTCACACCTGAAATCGCAGCACTTCGGGAAGCTAAGGCAAGAGGATTGCTTGAGCTCAGGGGTTTGAGACCAGCTGGGCAACACAGAGAGATCATGTCTTTATAGAAAGTAAAAAAATTAGTTGAGTGTGATGGCACTCTTCTGTAGTCCCAGCTACTTGGTGGGGCTTGGGTGAGAGGATCACTTGAGCCTGGGAGGTAGAAACTGCAGTGAGCTGTGGGTGACAGACCAAGACTGTGTCTCAATAAATAAATAAATAAATAAGATCACACACATGGCCATGGCCACAAGGCCTGGTACATAGCTAGCTATCAATTAAGATTAGCATTTGGCAGTAAATACCTTGTGTCCCAATTCTTGTCCCAACTTTTTCTTGTATCTTCTCTGAATATTCTAAGCCATTGTGGTCTATTCTTATGAAAAGGAGGCAGACCTTCCAAATAAATCTCATTTGGTTGCCATTCTGTAAAAAAGTGATTGTTTCATTCTTTCCTAAGTGTGAATACCAGAATAGCAACTATACACCCAGTTCAAGTGCAACTCTGATAATAACGGAAGTGCTGTTTTGAGCTGAGCATCATATATGACAAGAAAGGTGAGAATACTGGAATACTATGTGAAGTGTATTAAGGAGTATACTAAAGGTAAATACATGTACAGCCACTAATGAAATCCTCAGCCTTAAGAACGTCTTTCCTCTAGTCGTGGTTCTGCTATTAGTTCTCAGTGATCTTGTGACTTGGTCAAATTCCTGATTCAAGGTGGATGTGTTCTTTGTAGAGCAGCGGTCCCCAACCTTTTTGGCTTCAAAGACTGGTTTCATGGGAGACAATTTTTCCACAAACTGGGGCTGGAGGGATAGTTTCAGCATGATTCAAGTGCATTACATTAATGTGCACTTTATTTCTAATTATTACATTGCAACATACAATGAAATAACTAAGCAACTCACTACAATGTAGAATCAATGAGAGCCCTGATCTTGTTTTTCTGCAACAAAGATGGTCCCATCTGGGGGTGATGGGAGACAGTGACAGATCATCAGGCCTTAAATTCTTGCAAGAAGCATGCAACCTAGATCCCTTGAAAGCACAGTTCACAATAGGGTTCGCACTCCTATGAAAATCTAATGCTGCCACTGATTTGACAGGACGCAGAGCTCAGGTGGTAATGTGAGCAATGGGGAGTGGCTATAAATACAGATGAAGCTTCATTCACTCACTTGCCTGTTGCTCACCTCCTGCTGTGTGGCACCGTTCTAACATGCCACAGACCAGTACTGGTCCATGGCTCAGGGGTCGAGGACCCCTGTTTTAAAGGGTACTCGGTCTGCCTCCCCTCTCAAAGTTGTCTCCAAAGTAGACAAATCTCAATCTCACCTCCAATATTTCTGTGGTTTCAGCACTTTTTCCTCCGAATTTCCGTTTCATATATTATTGAAGTTCCACATAAACTACTTCTCTCTAATATTAGGGCCCTCTATAAAAATATCTGCTACAAAAAGAGAAAGACAAAAATAGTTGGTCACATT